CGTATTAGATTAACAGCTGAAGAATGGATCCATTTTTTTCAACACATTTCTCCGGATTTCATCATTGGAGGAGACTTCAACGCTCACAACATAGCATGGGGATCCGAAACTAATGATACTCACGGTAAAGTCTTATTAGAGGTGATAGAACAATGTAATCTATTATACCTAAATGATGGTTCTCCAACTCTTGCACCAAGTTCCAGTCCATCAGCAATCGACATAACAATTTGCACCCAGGACATTATATCTAAATTAACTTTATTTGTTATTCAAGATTCACATGGTTCTGACCATCAACCCTGGACCATCTCCTTAGAAAATTCCAAAGGAGCCACCACCTGGTAACAACACACAAAAAAGATGGAATCTAAATAAAGCAAACTGGAACTTGTATTCATCCAACTTTTCTTCAGAAAACCTTCCTTAAACTTATGAGGAATTAGTTAATAAAATAAACAGATGAGCATCCATTGCTATTCCAAAAGTATAAAAAATATCCTACAGAAAAGATCCCAAAACCATGGTGGGATAATAACTGCGAAACAGCTGCAAATAACCGTAAAACAGCATATATACGTTATAAAACAAATCCCAATATTTTTAATTGAATACAAAAGATTGGATGCATTAACAAAGAAAATTTTTAAAATTAGAAAAAAACGAAGTTGGATAAACTACTGCTAAAGCCTTAACTCCCACAGTCCAATCAGCGACGTCTGGAAGAAAGTACATCGCTACAAAAAATGAAAAGAAGTCCAATAAACTCCCGATAAACTGTGAAGTTGCATGGATAAAAGACTTCCACTTTAAAATTTCACCTCCTTGGGTACCAAATCAAATAAACGAAGCTACAGTTACCGTCTCCAGAGAATACTCCAATCTAGAAAAACCATTTGAATTGTGGGAATTAAATTATGGACTCAAACAAAATAATAGTTAGTCTCCAGGGATGGACTGCATATTATACTAATATAAGTAATGAAAAAGCTGATCGGGAAGCTAATGAAGCCTGCTATATGAATAGACCAGATAAAGAGCTCCTAGAAATTCCTCATTCCGACATTCAAAACACCATCAAAGAATTTTCAATGAGAATATGGCTCGAAAGATGGAAAAAACTTGAAGACAACAAACTACAACGCATCAACCCAAATTTGTCACCAAAAGAGATAATGCCACAAAAATGACGAGATCAAGTCATACAACACCGCTTAAGAATAGGACATACCAGGTTAACCCACCAGTGCCTAATGAAGAAAGAACAACAAAAACTGTGCTATGTCTGTGATATTCCTCTGAAAATCGAACACATTATTGTTAGTTGCCCACTCTACCACCTGGAACGACTGTTTCCCGCCAATAACCTTTCATGGTTGACGCGGTTTACTTAATAAAAAAAAACAACGTTGAGTCTTACAAACCTATATCTTTAAGTTCTTGTAGACTAAAAACTCTAGAGATTAATCAGAAATCGGCTTGACTCTAAAGATATCCTTCCCAAATGTCAATACGGCTTCCGGGAATCCAGGTCTACACAAGATGCTCTCGCTTCACTAGTTTCATCTGTTCAGGTCAATTTCACAAATCAAGAATCAACAGCTGCAGCATTTATAGATGTAACCTCTGCATTTGATAACATAAATTTATATTGTTACGATTTTAAATGTTATGGCGTATAGAACTGTAAATATTTTATGACTAATTCTTTTGCATTGATTCTCGTAATTTCTAGGTCAAAAATCTACCTGACATCATTTGGGTCCCCTTCGGTAAACAAACAACAATCGAATTTTCTGGGGACGACGAGCCGATAAAGAACATACCAGTTTTGAGACCAGTCGCCGCTGTGTCTACATCGAGAACAGCATGGTATTTTCTACACCTTTCTGTTTACCGGCTTGGAATTATATAAATAACGGAAGACTTTCATTAAGGAGTCAGTCATAAGAAGATCGGGAAACGCGGTTTACTTGTAACGAAACGTAACAAAAAAATTTGTATTTAATAAGTTATTTAATAAATTAGTAATTAGTTATCGTGAGTTTTAATAAATTAGAATATAGACAATAAATTAGAATAAAGACAAATAAATTAGAACAATATAAATATATGACAATATATTCTCCATAAGAAATTGTTATATCTTGGAATGGCAGCTAAAATTTCAGATTTCATTATATCCTTGTACAAGAACAGATGGACTTACTTAAAAATAAATGAGAAACTTTTAGCGCCAAGGCTAACGAATATAGGTATACCACAGGGTAGTATTTTAAGTACACTTCTCTTTTCATTGTACAATATAGATCTAGAAAAGATAGTACCTCCACACTCTAATATATTGCAGTTTGCAGATGATGTTGTGTTGTATACCTCCCATACTACCCTTGACATTTGTAGGCGTCAGCTCGAATCTACATTAGATTGTATAAAAAATTATTACCATTCTCTAGGCTTATCAATATCAACTACAAAGCCTGAAATTTGATTTTTTCCAAAAAACGCCAAACTCCTCAAGGTAACTTCAAATTAGGAAAAATAGAATTTCTAATCAAAAATTGTGTAAAATATCTAGGCACATATTTGGATCGTAAACTGTTATGGAAGGATCAAATTCATTCTATTTATTCTATAAAAAAATCGGAAAACTCCATGAATATCCTTAGAGCATTTTGTAAAACCAGTTGGGGAGCTGACCCGAATATTGCATTGCTCTTCTATCGCTCAATGATTCGACCAATTTTCGACTATAGTTGTCATTTATATGGGTCTGCGTCAACAGGACATCTTAATAAAATTAAAACCCAAAAGAATAAATGTTTGAGGCTTTGTCTTGGTTACTTAATATCTACTCCTATTAGTATTATTGAAATTGAAGCTAAAGAGCCGCCCCTTACACTACGCAGACAATTTTGTACACATAAGTTTGTAGCTAGAGCTATATAAAAAAACTTCAGCTATTTAAAAAATATTCCTAACTTGAATATATTAGACTTAAGCCACAAATATTGGCGTAACAAAAAAAACTCCTATATACGTTGAAAGTTATAGGAAATTGACAATATTTGAGAACAATTGTATCAAAATAAAATACCACCAATTTATACTCAACCTTCTAAGACTCTTTTCTTCAAGATAATAGAAACATATTATATGGATTCAAATCTTCCAGGAAGTATGATCAACAAAATAATTAAAGATAAGTGGCCTGCAATTCAATATATTTTTACTGACGGCTCTAAAATTCAAAATAAAACGGGTGGTGCAATATATCACTGGAATTCTGATTACAAAGAATCGTGTCGATTACCCAATGATGCTTCAATATATACAGCCGAAGTATCAGCTTTATTACTTGCGTTAAAATATATAGCCTCTATTGGTATGAATAATTATATCAATCTGACCTATTGTAGAAGCATTATAGACAAACTCACTTCTATCAAAACCACAAAAAACCTAAACCATATTGAGATAGAAATAAAGAGGTTACATTATGATATTATATCCGCAGGTAGCTCGATTATTATTTGTTTAGTAAATGAAGGAGTCGACAAATTAGCTAAATCTGCAGCTTTAATCAAACATAATATAAACAACATACTTCTTCCAGTAACAGATATAGATAAAACCAGTAGAAACAAATGTAAACAAAGATGGCAACGTTTATTCAACCAAAGTACAACTGGAATACACTTTACAACTTGCCAACCACTAAGTCCCAATGAGAGATGGTTTAAATATGAGACAAACAGGTTATTTATAAAAACAATAAACAGAATAAGATCAAACCACGCACTCACTCCTGCATACAAACACAGCATAGGTATCACTGATAACCCATATTGCTCCTGTGGTGAAGTGGGAGATCTACAGCACCTTATATTGAAGTGTGTACAGTACAAAGTATCAAAATAATGTATGAAAAACTAATTGAGAGAAATTGTCCATTGCCTGTCAATTTGAATACAATTAATTTTCCAAATAATAAGCAGATATTAAAATGTATCTACGAATACATAATGTCCTGTAAATTTAAATTATAAGTAGTTTTAGGTATTCAAATTAAAAATTGTAAATATGTCAAAAATTGAATGTGTATACGAATATATTATGTAAATTTAGATTATAAATAGGATTAGCTAATAAAATCAAAAATTGTAACTACCACAAATAGTCTGGCTAATTGGCAATGCCAAAGCCATTATACAATAAAAAAAGATATTCTGAGGCTATAAAATCGAGGTCAAGTATGATAAGTTTGAAATGACACTACATAATAACAAATAACTTTGGTTATACATTTCCGCAGAATTTTTTTTAATAATCTTTTTTTGAGAACGATTTCCGAAGTGGAAGTCGAAACGTTAAACACTAGTTAGTTAAAAATGTGATTTTCATTAACAAATAATTGTGGCTTAATATAATTATAATGTGGCTTAATAATTGAATAATTAAATTATTCAAGTGTTGATTCCAAACTGTTTATTTGAAAGATTTATGAGAGATAGAGGGTCTCTGAAGAACCAGTCTTTTCTACATTGATTCTTACCAACTTTTCATTGATAAAGCTAACTAAACTAATAACGCAATTGTTTTGAATTCGTTTTTATTAAGAATCTGTTTTTAGTTACAATTAGAACCTAACCTAATACAAATATGAAAGAATTTAAAATTAAACCAGTAATCCTTCAGAATTATTAAAAAATATATGACATTGTATGAATATAATATTCACATTCCTATTTACCAAGATTTCGATAATTATAGAATATATTCTATTCTTGTCATTAAGTTTCATATTATTCTACACGTAATAATACAATTTTGGACAAAAATAAGTTGATCACAGTGACGCCATTTTTGTTAACAGCTAATAACCAAGATCAGCTAGATCCAAGAAATATGCACAAATTTAAAATTATAGATATTGGAATCCGGATTTAAAATATTCATAGAATATATTATTTTAGTTCATTATAAATAATTAACCTTACCTTGAATACAGAGCCTATATAATACCTTTTTCCATTGTAAGAAAACACATTTGAGGGTCTTGGTTTTGGAGTTAGTATGGGAGAAACAAACGGTTCACCACTTTCTAAATTCACTTTAACAATATTACAAATAAAGAAGATCAAAAAAAGCTTCAAGTACATTTTAAATTAAAGTACTTAATTAATATAAATATATGTATAGACACATAACTTGCCTTTGTTATTGAGATACTATAAGAACTGGAATGATCAATGACGCTGACTTGGTAATTCCAGTTATAACTACTTAACATTTTAATTTTAAAAATAGTTTATTTCTAAAAACTGTATATTCGGCTATCTTTGATATCAATACACAATTTTAATAAATGAACTGTCCTGCGTAAAATTTAAAATAGGAAAATTTTTTAAATGTTTGTGAATTTTTATAAACTAATTTAATTTTAGGTTTTCGCGATTATTATATACAGGGTGTCACACAAAGACTGGTCAAAAATTATACCACAATTTTTAGAAATGAACTAAATTGATTTGGCCTAGCTTAGCTATATGCAAAAGTGCACCCAGAAAAAGTTACCAAAGTTAAAGGTAGGTACAAAATAAAATCGAATTTTTTGATATTGCTCCTAAACGGTTTAAAACTTTTTTATGAAAATTTATATTATGTGTCAGTAAGCCATGGCCAATAAAATCGAAGTATTAGGGAAGTATCGAAGTGAAAATCGAAGTGTTGTAGCAAAAATATATTTTGTTCGACTTTTTTTTGATATTAAGAGAGGGGCTCCAAACTTTCTACCAATAACTTTTTTGTGGTATAATATTGGATTAAACAGAGGACGCCAATAAAATGAAATACTTGAAATACTATGAAAGGAACTCCATGTATTGATACGACCTGTATTATTAATGCTTTTGCTACTGTAGTCATTTCTTGATTAGAAAGGAGTATAATTTCAAGCCATTTTGAAAAATAATCCATTGCGACTATTAAGCACTGTAACATTTTTTTATTATTAAAATATTAATCATTTTTAATTTTTTTTACCCCCGTGCGATACGCCGATGATTAGGAATTCCCGTGTTTACGATAAGAAAATAGTATTGGATCTACTAAATTATAATGGACTTCCCTAATTACTAAAGGTCCTTTCCGTCTTAATACTCAGTATGAAAAGATCTAATGCTTTTGAGTATGCAGGTTCTTTTACATAAATTGATAATTTTCGCCGAAGGCCCGTATCTTTTGACAATAACTTAATCCCAAGTATTGTCTGCTTCTCATGTCCAATTGTTGGTACCGGTAACTCAAAACTTCCGGATTTTTTACTTCCTCATAATTATCTACAACTGTCCGATGATTTTAAGTGGGGACTAAACCTTCTTCTTCTTTTTTCTTTGATAGTTGGTGAAATTTTTAGTGGAACCAACTTACTTCTCGGTGGGCTCTCGTTGAGCACAGGTCGATTATCTCGTGAGACTTCTCGGTGGCCTCTCGTTGAGTGTGGTCGCTTGCCTGAAATTATCGTCTCTGTGAATTATTTTCTAAGTGTGTATACACTCTATATTTCAGTTTTCTTGTCTTAGACTATATTAAGTTATATATAGTTCTACAATACCTTTAATGGTACCTAATTAAATTCAGTGTTGAATACCAGTACAGTATATTAAATTCAGTGAATTAAGCTGCCGTCATCAGGAATTATGTAAGTTACCATAATCTTTATCTGCAAATTATCTGGGCTAGTAATATGGTATGGTACCATATCACCTGCCATTATCTGGACGTATAACCCATCATTCATCCATATCTTCATCTGTAGATTGCCGATTTTTATATTTAATTTAAAGAACAATTCAAGAACTTTCCATAAATAATAACTATGAACATCTCTGTTTGTTTTTTTTTGTAAACTTAAAGTTAAGAAATTTTTGCTATCTTTTGTATTTGCTATAATTTTTGCTCATTATCTTTCCTATAATATCTCGAGATACACCAAACTATATTTGTATAGATTGCCTTATATCTTGGTAAAGGTATTTTTTTATTATATTATTGCTTAACTTTTTATTATATTATTACTTGTGTTGCATTTAGCAGCCTCATAATTTTGTGTTTAATATATTGTTAATGTTTTATGCATGTATTTTATTTGTCGGCTCCTAACAAGTTCCCTGATAAAATAGTAGCTCTAAATATTTGCTTAGTATATTAATTTACTATACTTTTGACCAGTAGAAAAATCAGGCTGATTAAGTTTCGTAGGTAAGTAAGTGTAATACCTAATATATTTATTATTTGTTTATATATTGTGTTGACCAAATTTATTTGATAATTAACTATCTTTCCTTGGGTTTGATCTCTGATCTCTGAAGGATATCTTTCCTTATCTCTTTTCTTTTCTAAGGTTTCTTAATTTTCTCCTTAACCCCAAAAAATTGAGTGGCGCCCTGTTTCTATCTCACTCGCTCTCCACCAACCATCTGGCTGCCGTCCGCAGTGTCTCCATTGGTTATCTTTCTAGCACCATCCAAAAAAGATTTCCGAGGTTACAGTACTTGTTCCCTCTCTGTCATTAAAAGTGGACCAAGACTATCCATTCGTTCAGTCGTTCAAAAGGCTCTCTAGAAAGATATTTTTCCATTTTAGCACGACTTATTATTCCAGGGATTTTTCTACCATTACATAAATCGCATCTCGAATGCTGGCAAGTCACTTTAATGTCCTCCCGAAAGGCTGCTATAAAGTTCTTGTAAACACTGGTAATGCGTGATTTTGACAGTATCACTTGTTGCACTGTACGTACTAGATCAGGACTCTCCCACTCCCGATATAATAGACCATTGGAAAGGTACACTTTCCAGAGATTCCCTCTTAGCCCAGTACGCTTTTGTAACACTGTATTTGGTTATTTCCTGCCAAATAGGTCTTACTCCATTTTAAGCCATTCTCGTATGACTTTTAAGTCATTTCCTTTTTTTTGGCTCTTTTTAAGGTTTTCACGGAAGTCTGATTATTATCTTCTTTCTCTTTAACTGCCGTTACTTATAGGCATACTTCTTCGGTTATGTTTTCTTTATCTTTAAGTCTTTTATAGTACTGGCATGGCCGTTCCAAACTGGGTCGTTTAGAAAGAATATTGCTTCGCCCTTTTCGATGTACTACTGAGCAACTTGTCCTTCTGGCTTTTTAAATTTCATTGGATGAAGATCCAAAAAGCACCTGGCATATATTGAGTCATGTCGGAGACAGTAAGACTCGCCGCACTAAAATAACCGCACGTTTTCTGAGATTGCTAAACAAACTGCTTGAACAACAGCAGTTTCCAACAATGTTGAAAGAAGCTAGGGTTGTCTTTATACCGAAAGGTAAGTTAAGAGGAAGAGGTACGATTTCGGCCAATTTTCCCTCTTAGTTCGATAGCTAAATTGTACGAATAGCTTATAAAAGGCCGCCTTGAGCGAGAGCTAGAAGAAAAGGATGCGCTGAGCGATCGCCAATATGGTTTCAGGGCCAAAAGGTCCACCGTAGATGCGGTCACAGAAGTAACCTCTTTATTTACGCAGGATACAAAGAGATGGACGACTCTCATTCTGCTCGATGTCAAGAATGCCTTTAATAGGACATCATGGGAAAAAATCATGTCCAGGCTTAGAGAATTGGACGTTAGTGAATACCTGGTCAACGTAATTGACAGATACTTCACTGACAGGTCCATAAGAGAAAAAGATACCAGCATTAGTTTGTCGCAGGGTGTTCCACAGGGTTCAGTACTAGGTCCCATCCTGTGGAATGTCCTGTACGACGGGGTTTTGAGGCTATAGATGCCAAGGGGATGCACTTTTGTAGCTTATGCTGATGATCTCACACTGGTTGCGAAGGCAAGTCAGAAAACGGACGTGGTTAATGCGGCTAATACAGCCCTGCGTCGCATTAGTAGGTAGATTGGAGAGAACGATCTACAGCTAGCGCCTCAGAAAACTGAGGTGTAAGTTCTCAAAGGGACCCGGATAAGATCCTCTCTTCGCTTTGTAGTGGAAGGTGTGGAGGTTGAACCGGTTAAATCAATTAAATATCTGGGAGTTTGATTGTCGGAAGGTCTAAGGTTCGGAGAACACATCCAAAAGACAGTAGAGAAGGCGAACCGAAATCTGGAAGCGTTGATACGGTTGAAGACAAACATTGGAGGCCCAGGAAGCACCAAAAGAAAGGTGCTAATTGGAGTTTTTCAGTCGGTAGTAACTTACGCTGCCCCTGTGTGGTGTAGTGTACTAAACGCTGCGAAATACGCTAAACTGATGGAGACTTCGCAAAGGCGAATGCTCCTCTAGGGTGTCTAGTGTATATAGGACAGTCTCGAATGAGGCTCTATATGTCATTGGAGCGGTGATACCGATCGTTTTGTTGTGTAAAGAGCAAGCGAGGATGTATGCGAGGAGGATGGATGTAAATATAGATGAGAATGAAAGAGAAAGAACGATAGTAGAGTGGTATAGAGAATGGATGAATGATAGTGGAAAGGCAAAGTGGACGAAAAAGCTTATTCTCGATCTGAGACCGTGGTGGGAATGAAAGTTCAGGAAACTAAACTACTTCCTGACGCAGTTTCTGACCGGATATGGTAGTTTTGGCACCTTCACAAATAGAATAGGCAAATCTGCCTCGGTAGACTGTACTCTTTGTGCGGTACCGAATGCTCCCGCCCACATTTTTAACTGCCAGAGATGGGCAAATGAGATGGGAGATTTCGAGATGCGAAAGTGTTTCGGGCTGGATGAAAGAAATATTGTAAACATAATGTTGAGAGGACAGAAAGAATGGGAAGAAGTACACTGTCTGATTTCTGGGGTGATGAAGAAAAAGGAGCAGGAGGACAGAGGAGGAAATTTAGCCAGGGATCTAAAAATTTATAGTTAATATTGTTTATTATTTATGGCCTAACGTCTAAACATTTTCTGATTTACGGTAATAGGTATGGTTATATATAAATTTTTAGTTTTTTATTTTAGTTGAGTGGCAGGACCACCTCTCTGGAACGGTGGTTAAGGTTTTAGCCGGAACACTGTTAATCCGGCACTACCCTGGAGTGTTCTGGCGTAGTATCTCACTCGGCCGAAAGATACCAGGGTGTCTTGTTCCGTGACGTAGAGGCCCAAAAAAGATTTCTCCCACCGTTGCCTGTCAGAATTCAATGGATACCTTTTTAGGCTAGTACTAGAATGTGGCAAAACGGCAATTAACAAAAAAAT